GTTTCTGTCGTTCCTTCTTCAAGTCTAGGCGAATTCGAGACCGTACCATTCTATGGTCACTGCATCGTACCTTGCCAACCACTTCCACATCCTGCACGATGCCTGGGTGTGCACTCATTATAAAGTCTATTTCGTTCTTATTTTCGCCATTAGGGCTCCTCCATGTCCACTTGCGGTTTCCTCGTTTTCGGTAGAAGGTATTCAAAATCCGTAAATTATTGCGTTCAGCGAATTCTACTAGTAGCTCTCATCTGGCGTTTCTAGTACCGATGCCATTATCTCCTACTGCCTGGTCTCCAGCCTGCTTTTTCCCTACCTTTGCATTAAAGTCTCCTATCAGTATTGTATACTGTGTTTTTACCTTACTCATTGCTGATTCCACGTCTTCATAGAAGGTTTCAACTGAAGCGTCATCATGGCTGGATGTAGGCGCGTAAGCCTGTATCACCTTCATCTTGTATCTCTTATTCAGTTTAATTACAATACCTACCACCCTTTCATTGATGCTATCGCATTCCTCTATGTTGCCAGCTATGTTTCTGTGAATTACCGTAATTACTTGAATCTAACGCGCACCTTTTTTCAGTTAAGCGAGTTCATAAATCGCATGCGCATTAGAATCGAGTACGAACAAAAAAATTACGGTCAATCTATTGCCATCGGCAAATCCAAAATGGCCGCCCCCTACGTGCGTCGGCATAGCGCGTCGGCCATTTCTGCCTATGTGTTTCCCCTGTGCGGCACTTCATACGTGTGCTGAGGAGTTCGTCTTCTAGTAGTGCATTTGAATCGACGGCGTGGATGGGCCGACTCCCAAAACTCGAGTGCACCACGATGCCCCTTTTAAAAGAAAAGTCATCGCGTGTGCAGAAACGAACGGAAATCGGGCCGCATCGCGGTCGTTCGGAGTTCCCGAAACGTGCGTGCGGGACCGGCGGAAACAAAAGCAGAAGATTGTCGACAGCAAAACTTCACGCAAAGGCTTCTGTGGACCACACCAGGGTCGGTTTCCGCAAATTAAAGAGCTGCTCGGCGAGTATGTGCTTGAGCAGCGAGTCGCACAGTGGCCCGTGACGACAGAACTGCTCCAAGTGCGGGCTATGCAATTAGTCTTAGAAAAAGGTCTCATGGGGAGCCAGTTTTAAAGGGAGCAGGTGCTGGCTAACTAACTTTATGAAGAGGAAAGGCTTTTTCCTCCGAAGGGGAACATGCATATGCGAAAAGTTTTGCGGAGGAGTACGATGAAAAGCTTCACAGTTTTCAGAGGTTCGTCCTAAACTTGCGGCGCAACAACGGCTACCTGCTTGGGCAAATCGGGAATGCCGATCAGACGCCTATTTACTTCGACATGCCTGGCACCACAACCGTCGAGAAGAAGGGGGCGAAGCAAGTTCGCGTGCTGACATCGGTCCACGGTAAAACTACAGTGACGGCAATGGTCTGTTACACGTCAGATGGGCACAAGCTTCGCCCGTACCTCATATTTAAATGGAAGACCCTCCCGAAAGGAGTCGTTTTTTCGAGTGGTGTGATCGTGCGGGCCAGCGAGAGAAATGGGTGCGCGTTGCAATTGATGTCTTACTTTTTTTTTTCGCGGTGGAAATCGGGTGCGCGTTACAATCGAGGGCGCAGTAGAATCGAGTAAATACGGTAAGAACCCCACTCCCCATTTTCTTCTGTCAGCCAAGCCCCGATAGCAAAGGACGTGCCCATTCTGTAGCACCGTATAGGCCTCATCTGTCCTCCTAACCTCACTGAACCCTATTATATCCCATTTAACACCCTCTAGCTCCTCGAATAGTACAGCTAGACTTCCCTCACTAGATAAGGTTCTAGCGTTAAACGTTGCCAAGATCAGGTTCCAATGGCGGCCTGTCCGGATCCAGAGATTCTTAGCACCCTCTGCTGCGTTGCAGATCTGACTGCCGCCGTGGTCAGTTGCTTCGCAGCTGCTGGGGACTGGGGGCCGTGAGTTATTTGACGTATGCATGTGGGAGGTAGTGGCCAGATACTGCACCAGGGTGGCCAATCCTTCTCTGGTGAGGGAGTGCGTTCCCGGCGGTGGTTACCGGTGAGGCCCCACCCCAGGCCTCGTAATGCAGTTCCATCACCATGCGGATTTTTTTTTTTTTTTTATCCTGTTGGGAACTGCGCGGCACCGGGATTTGAACCACGGACCTTTTGCATGCGAGGCGGATGCTCTAACCACTGCGCCATCGCTGCTTCTCTTCCATTGACACCAGATGGTAATCGGTGGATTATAGTGGCGGTTAACCACCTGACACGCTACGCCGAAACAGCCGCTTTGCCGAGCGCTACAGCTCAGGATGTCGCCTCTTTCATTTTACAACGCTTTATCCTTCGACATGGTGCACCTCGAGAGCTCCTTAGTGACAGAGGCCGCACTTTCCTCTCCAAGAAAAGTGTGGCCTCTGTCACTTTTTAGTGCGGCCTCTGTCACTTTTTTCAAACGGTTTAACCGTCGAAACTCTGCTTTCGGAATGCCACGTCATTCATCGGAAAACGACAGCATACCACCTGCAGACTAACGGGCTAACGAAACGGTTCAACCGCACGCTAGGTGATATGCTCTCAATGTACGTGGCATCTGATCATAGCAACTGGGACCGTGTTCTCCCATATGTCACGTTCGCATATAACACCACAATACAAACCACCACGGGATCCTCACCTTTCTTACTTCTTTACAGACGTGAGCCTTCCCATACAATTTATACCCTACTTCCCGACCGTCCTGATGCTTCCGAGTATCCACCTATCTCCGATGCTGCTCAACAAGCCGAAGAGTGCCGCCAGCTCGCCCGTGCGTTCACCTCGGAAGAGCAACAACGCCAGAAAGAAAACGGTAGCACCTCTCTTCCGGATCCCAGCTATGCCCCAGGGTCTCTTGTGTTGCTTGCCATCCCATACCAAACTCCGGGACTCTCCTCGAAACTTGTCCCCCGGTATGAGGGGCTGTCACAAACGACTCCAATTTTCGGAGCATCCGCGGGCCCCACCTTCCAAGGAAAGGCGCTTTTGTGTTGGGGGGACGACATCCGGCGACTTGAACGACCCAGCGTGGCGCCGGCTCGTCTTCCCTGCACCGGTACCGGAAGGGGCACCGGCGATCTAAACAAGGAAAATTACTCCCAGATGAGACGGGAACACGTGTACGCCCCTGAGGTGGTTTGAACTGCATCGGAGGAGCAGTTGACGTAGAGCCAGCAACAAGTGTGGTCGTCGGTGTCGCGAGTCTCGCGTAGGCGGCGAGCATGGAGTGACCCGCGCAACGTATTGAGGCGGCTGCAATTCCGGGCACCCTCGTCGTCTACCAAGCCGGCGAGATCTTCAGCGGCACCCGTCAACTCCCCTACGTGCACCAAGAGCTGGCCTGGTCCGTATGGAACTTTTATTGTGATTTTTTTTTAAATCGTTAATTTATTATAACCAGCCTTTTTGTTTTTATTTGTAGTTTTGTGCGCTGCGGCGCACTTTGAAATTCAAAAAGCGCGACCAATGATCATTCTGTAATTAATTTCTTGTATCTCTCTCCTTTGATTTCCATCTTGTTATTTTATTAATATTCCACGTGTTTGTCTTTTGTCTGTACCTCTTGTAGTGTTCTTTTAGAGCATAGTTTGTTACATAGCTGTTCTTTCAATCGCGCATCAGTGTTATTCCTGTCTGTTATTTTTGTTAATCTCCTGCCTTCACCACTGTTTCAATTAAATGCTTGTTTGTGTGTAATCAAACTCAGTGTCTGCTCTATGAGTGCGTCGGTCAGGCCCACGCATCACCACACGTGCAACCCCGCACGGGTCGACCAACCCGCAAATAAATTCGAAAATGTGCCACTTCGAGGCCTTTGAGGCTCGCAGGCCAAAGCGTAAAGTGAAGCCTGCGAGTCTGCCGCACGTCGATGTTGGATCGGCGGGGCCTCACCGGATTTTTTTTTTTTTTATCCAGTTGGGAGCTGCGCGGCACCGGGATGCGAGGCTGATGCTCTAACCACTGTGCCATCGCTGCTCCTCTTCCATTGACACCAGATGGTAATCGGTGGATTATAGTGGCGGTTGACCACCTGGCACGCTACGCTGAAACAGCCGCTTTGCGGAGCGCTACAGCTCAGGATGTCGCCTCTTTCATTTTACAACGCTTTATCCTTCGACATGGTGCACCTCGAGAGCTCCTTAATGACAGAGGCCGCACTTTCCTCTCCGAGGTCGTCGAAACTCTGCTTTCGGAATGCCACGTCATTCATTGGAAAACGACAGCATACCACCTGCAGACTAACGGGCTAACGGAATGGTTCAACCGCACGCTAGGTGATATGCTCTCAATGTACGTGGCATCTGATCATAGCAACTGGGACCGTGTTCTCCCGTACGTCACGTTCGCATATAACACCGCAATACGAACCACCACGGGATTCTCACCTTTCTTACTACTGTTTTGGAGAAAGCTCTCCGGTTAATTTCCTAATTGAACTAGTTTCCCGATCGGAACGACATGCGCCGGCGTGCACGTGACATCGTCCATGTTTCCCGACTGAAACCGTACCATAAGCCTCTGCCTGAAACTTCTTAAGTCGCCAGGATGGCTCCTTTTTTCAGCGGGGGCAATTGTGAAGAAGATGTGCCTGCCGCGAGCAGCATCGCCAACGCCCGGCTCTCTCGCCTCGTGCTTCGGCTCGCTGCTGTGCCGGTCTCTGCTGGACGGTTCATCACGCTGTCTTCCCGTTGTCGTTAACTACTAATAAACCTCTTTACAGTTTAAATATTCGAAGCATTTAAATATTCGCACAAGCCTAGAGGTAAGGTAAGGTCAGCCAAGATGAAACACGAATATAAGATAATGCTTCTGCTCGCCAATATTGAAGATTCAAGGTAAAGGGATTGTGTCTGCTGGCCAAGTTAAGTATCTATGACAAAATGAGTCATTCATTGAGGTCAAGCTAATCAGAACCGGTGAAAATCACAACAGGTTCAAAGGCTCACCCCTGCGATGGCAGACGACTGCGAGGCGCGCGCAGTCGGAGGCGGCGGCGGCAACAGAGGCGGAGGTGGCCCCACGGGTGTTGCTGGCTCAGAGAGGAAGGCACGGGAGCCGGGATGGTGGTGATACTGCTGCTGCTGCTTGGACCAAGAAAAAAGGCACAACACAGGGCGGCTGTTATAAGAGCACCTCTTTTTTCCTAATTACACACCAACACATCGTTGCTATCAGCCTAACTAGGACAACTACATGGCAAAGGCCTCTTTTATGCTTCCCCAACTAATCCGGTACTGCCCTTCCTGTGGCATCGTTATCTCTACAAACACCTAAATCTCATCTGCCCATGTAACTTCCTGCCTCATCCTTACACACGCCTTTTCTTGGGATCCAGTCTGCAACTTTTTATGACTTGCCTTCTTGCTACCTCCCCTGCCTATGTCCATTTCTTTTTCTTGATTGCGACTACTTTGTTGTCAACACACACTGGTTCCCTGACTCACTCTGCTCTTTTCTTGAGCCTTAATAAGGGGTATTCGCACGGGGGACAAGTGCTTGGAGGATAGAGGTAGAGCCTAGCGATGTCAACTCGCAAGGAGAATTCCCCACAGATATCCCCTGCTCACAAGGGCGAGGCAGATGAAGGGTGACATCTATGTTACCAAACTACTCTGGTGGCATGTACTGCCTGTACTGCCTACTTTCACAAGCTGCTGGCGAGGGAACCACCAATGCGTTACTGCTTTCTGCTGGAGCAAGCGCATGTGGTCAAACCCCTACCTGAAATTCCGCTATATCTCCTGCCACGGGGACACAGTTTGTCGTGTCAGTCGAAAAATCCCTGTCTCTGCTGAGAAAGCGCGGGGACGTTGGGCCTACTTGCTAATCCGTGACGTCTCCGTCATGTGAAACGCAATCCTAGCTTCTCCTCCCAAGGATTTATCCTGTGTGAATACCCCGCTTAGGTTGCACCAATCATTTTCATTTACATGTTGAAGTGTTCTTAAGATGACGTTTTCCTTTCCAAGGCTAATGAAGCTGCCTCCAGTGCTTGATTGCCGCACAGGAGTACGCACGTCCACTGTCAAGAAAGAAGCAAAAAACTTGTGAAAAGCGTAGATTAGACAGTGTGCTGTCAAAGTTTGAAAAATTCTGGTAAAATTGCGCTGAAGTATTTTTTAGTGCTAAGATGCATAAGCCAGAAACACTCCTAACAGTAAAAGTTTCTAAAATAGATACCGTAATTACTCGAATCTAACGCGCACCTTTTTTCCGGTTAAGCGAGTTAATAATTCGCATGCGCGTTAGAATCGAGTATGAACAAAAAAATTACAGTTAATCTATTGCCATCGGCAAATCCAAAATGGCCGCCCCCTACGTGCGTCAGCATGGCGCATCGGCCAATTCTGCCTACGTGTTTCCCATGTGCGGCACTTCGTACGTGTGCTGAGGAATTTGTCATCTAGTAGTGCATTAGCATCGACGGCGCGGAAGAGCCGACTCCAAAAACTCGAGTGCACCACGATGCCGCTTTTAAAAAAAAAGTCATCGCGTGTGCAGAAACGGATGGAAATCGGGCCGCATTGCGGTAATTCGGAGTTCCCGAAATGTGCGTGCGGGACCCGTGGAAACAAAAGCAGAAGATTGTCGACAGCAAAGCTTCACGCAGAGGCTTCAGTGGACCGCAGCAGGGTCGGTTTCCGCAAATTAAAGAGCTGCTCGGCGAGTATGTGCTTGAGCAGCGAGCGGCACAGTGGCCCGTGACGACAGAACTGCTCCAAGTGCGGGCTATGCAATTAGTCTTAGAAAAAGGTCTAATGCGGAGCCAGTTTAAAGTGAGCAGGTGCTGGCTAACTAACTTTATGAAGAGGAAAGGCTTTTCCCTCTGAAGGGGAACATGCATAGGCGAAAAGTTTTGCGGAGGAGTACGATGAAAAGCTTCACAGCTTTCAGAGGTTCGTCCTAAACTTGCGGCGCAACAACGGCTACCTGCTTGGGCAAATCGGGAATGCCGATCAGACGCCTCTTTACTTCGACATGCCTGGCATGCCGATCAGACGCCTCTTTACTTCGACATGCCTGGCACCACAACCGTCGAGAAGAAGGGGGCGAAGCAAGTTCGCGTGCTGACATCGGTCCACGGTAAAACTACAGTGACGGCAATGGTCTGTTACACGTCAGATGGGCACAAGCTTCGCCCGTACCTCATATTTAAATGGAAGACCCTCCCGAAAGGAGTCGTTTTTTCGAGCGGTGTGATCGTGCGGGCCAGCGAGAGATACGGGTGCGCGTTGCAATTGATGTCTTACGTTTTTTTTTTCGCGGTGGAAATCGGGTGCGCGTTACAATCGAGGGCGCGGTAGAATCGAGTAAATACGGTACTTGGCGGAAGGTCTTAGCCACGTTTCTTCAAGAAAGGTCAAGCTTCGGAAGTAAAACACCATGACAAGACGTTGAAGATTATCGTCCCTCCAATCCAGCAAAGGTATGTATGCCATATCTATTGAAATCAAGGACCCCTCCTATTCATTGCCTTGTAATGCCTTGCTCAAATGTGTTAAGAATGCTCTAATTCAGTTTAGCTGGATTTCAAAGACACTTGGGGCATTTCGTCCACTCATCTGTTAGAAATTTTTGCTGTGTACCTGAATTCTAGTGACATCCAGTGGGATGGGAAGCATTTTGTTCAGAAGCAACGCACATGTATAGGCTCCTGCAATGCACCTATTCTTAGCAATTGGTTTTCAGGAAGCCTCAACAGGATTTTCTGAAGCACCTCAGGAGAACTTGTGTTTTTAAATGTTTTAAATATGCTGATGACTGTCTTTCATGAAAGGTGACGAAGGTTCTTTTGAATCAGAAGCTTCTATAACATACTAAAACTTGTCAGTGACTGCCTACATCCTCTGGTACTCACTCGTGAGGCCCCGGGTGAGGATGGCTTCCTTAAGTTCTTAGACTACAAAGCTCTTTACATGACAAGCACACATGCTGGTCATACGATCCCAAGGAAAACAAACCTTTGCTGCCGTTTCTTCTTCACACTCAAAATTAGTTAAGAGGAATGTTGTACAATCCTCTGAGCAAATCATGTCACCATTTAATAGTAACCGGTGCCTAAACTGCCAAAAACTTCGCCCTGCACAAGGAGGCTACCGCCACCATTTTCTGGTGTCGATTGGGGAACCCTTGCTCAAAAAGCCTTCAGGTCGCCAGCAGAATGACGCAACCCCTATGAATACAGGAAGAAGTTTGTAACTATGCCCTACCAACACACGATTTGCCACAACCTAACAAAGGTTGTAACAAAGGTTGTGCCAAATCAACCTAACAAAGTTGTGGACAATTAGGTTGTGGCACACCTAAACTATTTGCACACAAACACACATTACCCTCGTTGTTCATGGCTCTGAACCAGGTGGAAAAATTGTGCAGGCTCAGCAACCCAAACGCTTGCAAAGCTCGCAGCTGTGACCAAAATCACAGAACATGTCACGTGCAATGCAAGGAAGGTGTCGTGTACCAGCTTCCCAAGCTGTGTAGGAAATTCTGCGTGGGGCAGATGGGGCAGTGCCTCAACGACAAGCTTAGAGAGCACAAAAAACAATGTCAAGGAGGGAGGCGACAGTTTCTTATCTGTGCACACCTGCATGTGTGGGTGTTCGCCTGTTTTTGGTAAAAGCTCGGTTGTTCGCATGCACAAAGATAAAATTAAGCGATTGATCGTAGAATCAGCTACAATACACAGGCTAGGCCAAGAAAGTGTCAACGCACCATCACTTCTTGGTGCCACCACATTTGTGCATACCTAAGTGTCCACCATCTTATGTGTATATTCAGCGATCCAACTTCTAAATAATCATTGTTGTAAGTTAGTGCTTGTGCGTAATCTCTCTGACCCGTCTCCGTCAATGCTGTGTCATGCACTTTATGAGCATATCACACCAATAAGGCAAACAACCTACCTTTGCTAAATCACTTTATTTTTTACGAAAGAAGGTGATCAGGTAAAGCGGTACACTGCCGCATTTGAACACTCGCCCCAGCTTTCTTAGTCATTTGGCACACTTCTGCCATTCCTAACAAATGAGCAAGTAGCAGAAGAAGCTATTGAGCGAGCCACAGCATGCACCAGTCCTTGAAACATTATCAAAAAAAAATCCTGCAATAACTTCCTGAAAGCTGGAACCCCAATAAGGTGCTTCAATTCACGCACCTGCCTTGGGTCGACAATGAAGGACGTGTCGAACGGGTCGGGTGATACCAGCGTGGCCGCGGCGGCTATCGTCGTCTCCATCTGCTGGATACCCTGCGTGGAGGGAGAGAACAATGGGAGAATAATATTTGTTGAACTCTTCCCACAACATCTTTTCCAACAAGATGTATCGTGCTAAGGTTGAAGACAGCCTGTTGGTAAAGTATGACTATAGATTGTACAGCCCACCGAATTGAAGGAACACCAGAAAGATATGCTACAAGTGCTGACCTTGAACAATAAATTTTATTCTCTCCTCTCGCAGAATAAATACAGAAACATGAGCTCGGAAAGCGCAAGCAAGTGGAGATAATCAAAAAAATCTAGATTGCACAAAATGACATTCTGCCAATGCTATACCACCTAGCCACAAACTTTTTCCTGAAGTAAAAGAAAAGAATGAAGAAAGTGTGTGTATCTCTCTTGTGTCTCGTCGATTTGGTGCGCTAAACAATATACAGTCAAGATGTATATGTATGCCATACCGTATGCTTTACATGCCATTCAAACAAGTCCACATGAATTCCGTAACAATTTTTAAGATTACATATAAATTTCTCACAACTGGTGACATTTAACATATCACTTGTGACATATAACATGTGAGGAGAAGTTCATACTATTGGGGCGCAGTAAGAACTGAAACCAGCTTTTAAAAACATGCTGTAATTTTTCAGAATCGGGATGGGAGCCGTGAAAACACGCAGTGGGATATGCAGAATGAACAGAGGAAGTGCCTCAGACAGGCTGGCCAACGGTTCGATATGAGGACCTAACTTCTTCGTTTTGTTAGGCTAGGCTAGGCTAAGTTAGGTCAGGTCAGGTCCGGTTAGGTCCCCCTATCCAAACATAGGCCAGCCAGTCTCAGGCACTTCCTATATTCATTCCGCTTATCCCAATGTGCATTCTTTCAGGGCATACACACACTTGCCAGTACATCTTCTAGGCTCTTGAGTCTTTGGCGCCAAAAGAGGGACAAGTAAATATTTCGTGCCAGTGCCCTTTAAAAGGGACTGATTACGAACTTTTCTCAACAAAGATTTTTTTTTTTTCAGAGCTCTTCTTCAGTAGCAGTTAAACCTGCAGTAGTTGATTCAAAAGGTTGTGAATACTTCATAAGAATAATTTTTCCACCTAAGAACCTACTAAAAAAAAGTATACCTGCCTCCTCTAGCAACACTGAGAATCGATAACTATTCCAATGGCCCTCTTCACAAAATGTTCACTTTACTTTTACAGGAGTGAGTGCAGCTGTCGTTAACCTTTACTTTGCCATTTTCAACATTTTTTTTTTTTTAACTTTAGGAAAGCCAGCAGAATAAGCTTTTCAAATGCTCATTTTTGCGTAAAATCCCTTTACTGCCTTGCTGATCCAGGCACTTGTGGTACTTCTCCAACCTGCCTACAAGTGCCGCTAGTCCCTCAGCTAACTTTAAAGCTTTCTATAGCGCTGTTGCCCGAACTTCATCAGAGGCCACATGTGAGCATTGGATCACAGGCCAAGTGAAAGTGGCACCACTCTTCTGCTCACTATAAACAAATGTGTATCAGCACATGTTAAGTTTGAAAAGTTTATAATTATAAAATGTGCACTGTGCAATTGCAATGGCAAAAGGTTAGCACTAGTCACTAGTGGCCGGAGCAGCCAAATTGCAACACGTGACGATGTTCCAGAGAAGCGCTGAGCACATTTTATTTTCTTAACCAGAAATGGCTAGAAAGAAAGCACTGCAACAACCAGCTTTTCCAGAGCAACAGCAATAAAGATACAGATACTACAACAGTGCTACTCCAGTGAGAAAAAGGAAAAAAAAGCAACCATGTGCATAGCCCTGTCTGTCGATAAGGAATGCACACAAATTTTTTCAGGATGTGGGCTTTCAGATAGGCCAACAACAAGATGGGCTGCTTTGCAATGGCCACCCCTGCCTTGTAAAATAAAATGTGCTTTAAGGGCATGTTCGAGAACAACCACAGCGCGTCACAATTCGGCTGCTCCAGCCACCAGTCACTTGTGCTAATCTTTTTTCCACTGTGACTGTACTTCAGCATTCATAGAGACCATTAACCGCATGTGCCAGTAAACAGTAAAATGATGGTCATCATTATATGCTTCTCTTGCCTTCTGGCCACATAAGATACCAAAGCTGAATTCAGTGAAGAAATAAAAATATAAATCTGTATCTGGCGAGAAAAACAGGGCTCGTTTTAGCCAATACAATATACAGTATTTCCATTAGTAGGGTTATCTGAATTTGAGCTCAGAGTTTGTCTTCGAAGTACTAAGAAAACCCGTTCATCTTACCGCAAAATTGCCGTATTGGTAGTACAAAGAAGTGACAACATGCCAGGTGCATCGATATATGTTACACGAAAATGAGGAATAATGTAGGTCTGCAGCACAAATCCAATTATAAAAGCAGCCCTCATTGGTCTCCTCAAGATACAATGTGGTGCATTCAAACACTCTTGCTCAGTTTTGTCTCAACAGGGACAGTTTCTCAGCACTGCCACTGTTCAAATCAGCGTGCCATCATGAATAAGACGTGGTCTAAAAGGATCTTCGATTTGCTACGCCCCCTGCAAATGTGACCTCGACTTCACTTCCTATCAGTATCAGAACTAGCTGACTGCCAGAACTCCGAAAAGACAAGAGGCCCGTAGTTGGTGATCGCAACAGAATTCCATCTTAACTTCATCCCAGCTCCAGTTAATTGCTTCCACAGCATTTGTGTTTTTCGGGGTGCTACTATAGATATTTGCTACATATTCTTGAATATTTTGTATATTCTCTTTCAAATAATGCTGCAATGGGAACCTATGATGTACTTGAATAAATAAATATGTAAATTGAGAAATTCTCTTTTATTGTTGAAAGCATCAAATTTTTATCTCTGACTGGCATCAACGGGGCCAAATATTAAAGGGTACAGCAATGCACTGCAGATTAAGAAGATTAACACACATACAAGCCAGCCAATGTGAATTAACTTTCTGCGCTTAAAGGGCCCCCCAACACCAAAACTGGAACCTGAACATGTTTGAATTGGTTGTTCTGTACACGTGGGCTATGCTGGCAGATCATCAGTAGTGAGCATTGCTTCTAAGGCAATGTTTAACACTAATGGCTTAGATTTAAAGTAAATACGAGTGCTCACACGAGTTGGCAGCACCTCACAACATTATGTTTCCCAATAAATGCGAGTATTGTCAATGTCGCAGAAGATTCACGAGGTGCACACAATTTGCTCACTGGCACCAGACAAGCGGTATTGTTCCTCGCCCTCTCGCTTTCTTGTCGGGTCGCTCTTGAGGTGGTTCAGGCTGCTCACGCCAAAAATGTGTTTCCTGAGAGGACATGCAACAGGCCGAACTCTTACCAACATACCCATATCGTTCTATTCTTTTAGCCTTGTGGGGCCACGATTCGAAAACGCTGTCAACGTCACCAAAGCTTGAGCACATGTAGGTGTCCACGGTGTTGCCAAGGTATCGAAAGATAGCTTTTACCGCGGGCTCTTCGGCTATCACATTATGTTTTGAAGGTGAAAAAAATTAATTTCCACTTGCGGTCTCAGGCGCTCCCCTTTTGTGGGACACTAATTTCTAACGTTTTAAGACAGGCGCTGCGAAGCGATGCTAAAACTGGTTGCAACATATGACACTAGCATTATTAATACAATTTGTTCAAGCATTTGCAATTCATTGTTGGCATTATCGAACACAAGGCTACAAAATACAGCAAAATTTCACAAGCAAGAATTTCACTGTCACGGGGTCTTAAACTTGAACACTATCCGTCAACACCTTGCCCCAGTGACATTTATTTATACCAAAACAAAAAAAAGGCTTGCCGGTAGGCAGGAAGGCAACACCGCTACTAGATGCACTGCACATTCCAGAAGCCATGCACTTACCTCTTGTAGAGAGTCCAGCTCAGACTGCAAATCGAGGAGGTCATCCACTGTGGGAGTCTTGCTGTCCGCGGAGGAGGCGGGCTCACCGCAGCTCTCAGCCTACACACCATGCACAGCCCGCATGCACAACTACGCACTTCACAAACATGCAACGTCATCCCTCATCATCCACTACTACTTTCAATCGCACAAACAATACACCAGCATGCACAAAATGCCTATGCGTGGGGGGAGGGAAGAGGGGAGCAAAAAAAAACTGAACACATAAAATTGCAATGGTGGCAACAGCACATAAACACTGCCACTAGCATCTATGGGAGAGGCAAGCACATCAGTTCAACTGCTGCAGTATACGTGTAGTACAGCATAGCCACCTTATAACGTAAGGAGCCGGAGTCTCAAATTTCTGCACTGTATGTGGTACCACACTACAACCAAAGCAATATTTTTCAAAGGCTGCACATGTGCAAAATATGACCAAGAGACAGCCGTGCGATTTTGACTATACGAAAATGCAACTGGGACATAAGTTTGCATCCACTTAAATTTGAAAATCTTTAATGGTTAGCATCCGTGAACTTGTGGTGCTGACATAACAAACGTAGAAAAAAAAGTGCGTTGAAATGAAAAGATGCCAAATAACTATGGCAATTGAAGGCTATGGCAACATTTGGCATTGTAACTATGCCAACATTTGGCCCACCACACAACTCAACTAATGGCATCTTCAGCTGGCCGCACTGGTGGAGTTTTCTGTACACTCGTGCGGAATCGTACGTTCGTCTGGGCACTACGCATGCGATGCCGCTTGTTCGACTGGGCCAGCCACGACATGAGCGCACGCCACCACGTAGGTCGACAGTGGAGCGTGGTGCAATTCCATCGGCCAGCGTGCGCTGGCAGATGACGCGGTGACGTTCCATTATTTCAAGTGTACTTTACAGCTGACGCTGCTGCAGAGCATGGTTGGATGGCACGGAAAACGTGTGTGAGCTTGCATCGTCCGACCATACTCGCACAAGGATACTCTTGCTGCCAGGATTTCTCTGGCAGCACAACCGCCTGGAGAACAGACGCACACCCACTGGACACGTAGTGTCTCGCCAGTGTCTCTCATTGTTTGGTTTTCTGTTGTTTGCTCTCTTATTATCAGTACAAACAGGACGCTAGAAATTTTAATCTGCTGAATGGCATCTCTCACCAACAGTGCTGCTGTAGCGGAAACGAGTTTTGTGGTTCACGTGTTCGTCTGGCCGGTAGCGAGGTGCGACACTCAGGTGGCATTGGCATAACTTTCCTTCCACTGTCTCAGTGCCAGTGCACCTCAGCCGAAGATGCCATAGGTCTTTTATAGTGAGAACTAGATCAGAGGAAAACCAACTGTACAACTGTCTACATTGCATCACAGCAAAACTGAAAGTTCAGAAAAACAAAAGGAAAGAAGGCTACGGACATTATATTTAGCTCACGCTGGGCAAAATAAAAGGTGACCACGGCCATGCTACTAATAGGCAAAATGCTGGACTAGTCATACTACTGTCTTAGTAAGGGCGAATGCCAAGGGAGCAGGGATTCGATGACTGTAGCAAAGAATGCATCGTCGTGTAGGACAAAGAATGCATTAAGCCCCAATAAACAGCAACAAAGCTCAAAAGTGAGCAGTCACCTTACCTTTACCCTTGCTCAGCAGTACGGAAATAACAATCTCACAAACTAGCCGCTAAGCCACACATTCTCAAACAAGCATCGACTCAAACTTTGTCCTTCTTTAAATGAGTTGAGTACAGCACCTCCACTCAACTGAAAATGATGCCGGGCTTCACAAGAATCACTGCTTATATCACTCCCACGCACTGCTTGTTTCTGCCACCAGGCGGCACTGCTGTCAACATTCGAGAGTTGAGGTGCAGCGTTGAGTGGAGGAATGTTTTGGAATACGGCGATAAGAATGCCTCACCAGTAGTACAATCTTCCACACAATCTATAATAGAATGTTCACCCTTGCCGCACGTGAATTATCGAGGCTAACATTAACATAGCAAATGGGGAGCTTGACTAATCACATACAGTTAGGACAAGCATTCTGTTATAGAATGTGTACAATATCACACCCTTGATCTGTTTGTGTGACCTTTTCAACAGTGCACTGGTATTAATAATAATACAGTAAACTTGTGAAACGAAACCTGACAGGGCCTGGGAAGTAGGTTTTAGTTGACAGGAGTTCCGTTTACCACGAGATAAACAGAGCTACAATATTCAAGTATGAAGCCATTCATATTAAAGATTGAGTAAACAGGCTCCCACATTTTTTTTCACACACACCAAACAAGCTCGCCAATGCATACAGTACACCGCGGTGATCACATTTGCCGAATATTACAGCGCTGTGTGCCGCTCAAACCCTCCATCTCAAAACACAATCCGACGCCTGTTTCTCTCGCTTGACCAATCACCCTCGTATGTGCAGTCTGACGAAAGCTTGCCAACGAGCAACCCTACACACCACTGAGCTCGTCGATAGGTTTTTTGCCCTACGAAACAGAGCCTTCACCTTGTGGCGATGCAGTTTCAGCCACGCAGTCTGCATTTTCATTTTTCTGTGTTGCCCTCTACTGTTTCGTAGAAGCCGAGACTTTGGGAGAAGTGGTATTGCCAGAATGAAAGCCTCCGAGATGAAGAAGCATCTCACTACATTACCGCGAGGGGAAAATTGCTCTTGGCCTCGTATTTCCTGCCAGTATGACACAGGCTCATGTGAACGAAGCCCTGCTCAGTCGTTGGTTGCAGGCTGATGACATGTCACGGACATCGTGCCAAGTTGCCGAAGAGGGCGGAGTCGCTACGACGAGCTACACCTTCGTGGAGAAGGGTCGCAAGCGGCAGCGCAAAAATTTTAAACCGGTTGAAACGGATGTTGTAACCCCTGCAACTTCCTTGTTATAGCACGTATTCACAAAATCTTTGAGGCAGCATGATCCCATAGCAAAGGCGCACCTAAAGCTTTTCGACTTCGATGTTGTTTACTGGCCCTTTAAAGGCACCTATTATATTTAAGCAACTTCCATTTTCTGAGGGTCTACTGTAGTGTGGCCATCTAAGACTGAATCTGGTGACTCAGACTGAATCTGATACACGAGGAACGTTGGACATGCGTCGTGAATTTCCAGTATGAGCGTGTGTCACTGCTGGGCGACACCCAGACAACCCATTTGAGGCTCTGCTCACCTGAGGACTGCAGATCACCTCCTGTGCCTCCCCGCGATTGCTGAAGTCCGTGGGGGGCTTCCATTCCTGCAGCTGCTGCCGCTGCTCAAGCTGTGCCTGACGCAGCTCGTGCTGCTTCATCTCCAGCACCACCTGGAAGAGGTCACGCAGCGCCACCACCAGCTGGGATGCCTGCATAAATTTCAACTTTATAGCGAATCTCTCTCCAGCTTATGCTTACAAAATTGACGATTCCCATTTCCCAAGTCGCTGCCGCCCTTGACTATGCCTCCTTTTCCATAACAATCTCTTCGGCTGTGTTGCGACTCTGGACAGCATCTTAGACAGTCTATGTTGACAGCTCAAAAGGCAGCATGAACCCCTGTCGTAAGAACAGACTAACACATGTATGTGACCCGACACTGCTTTACGTCAACAACAGAAAAGTAAGGAAGCCAAAAAGAATTTTTTTACTTTTGCGTTCCAAGTCTACCAAGAACTTAGCATGGCTTACAACAAGTGCATAAAAACGACACCATAGCAGTAAGATTCCCACTATCAGAGCATTTCACTCGGCCACCACCTTTGTTTGGGCAGCAAAGTAGCCTGCGTCATATTTGTCCCCAATGATGTCTTCACAAGACTGTCTACTTTCCTGGTTATTTGACGATTAAATAAAGCAGCTATGATGGCCACTGTCCACATAGCTGCAGGGCTCGTTCAGAATATTTGACTGAAAATTTAAGGAGCTTTCAAGTATTTCAAGGATGAAAAACCACAAAATTCAAGGAGTGTTAGCAAAACTTTATTTGCTTGCAAGACTTATGGAAACAGCATAGTTTTTGCGTGGATTTCTTTTTCCACAGAAGCTATCTTAAGCTCCTTTTTTTTAAGCAGTTCGACAAAAGCTGTTTGCCTTGACTAAGTAGGTAAAGTCGTTTTTCGCTTCAGCTTCTTCCAAAAAATGGTCCGCAGATTCCAGCAGGCACTTGAAAGTTTTTTGAAGCTTTGACTTCCTTCCGTGCATCTTATCAAGCTCTCGCTCAAGCTCTTTTCCATTTGAAGCTGCCTGCCGTGACAGTGCTTGTTTCTTTTGTTCGTCTAGGTATGCAGCGAGCGTGCCTATGCCGGGCTTGGAGCGCTGACGCCTTCAACTCTTTTGAAATCGAAACGTTCAGCAAGCCACCATGGGTTTTCACAGCCTCGCAGATAATTTGTTAAAAAATGTACGACAGCTCTGCCAAATTCTCGACCGCAACCTGCTTGTTGATGCTGAAGCCTCTTTCCACTGAGGCCTGCCCAAGGCTCAGGAGGAGGACTAGCTTTAACACAGCCCATAACTGTGAGAATGGAGCATTGTGCTTCAGCAGCCCCACGAAAAAACTGTCAAAATGTTCATGATCTTTTTCATAGTTTTGTAGTTCATGATGTTTTTTTAGAAAAAACTGAATATACTGTGCGTGTGCACACAATGTCGCGTTTGTGCTCAGAGAGAAGCCTGCTGTCGATTAGACAGTTAAGCACACTTTTTAGCTTTCCAACGCATATGTCTGTCTTGGACATCTCAGTAGGGTCGAAACATGACAACCCACGAATGACAGTGTGCCTCAGGGGACTTCTCTCCGTGAATTTCAGAATCTTGTTCAATAGGAACTTTCGGCGCTCGTACCTAAACTCGAGAGTACACTTGGCGCTCGCTTTGCAGCATTTCACAATCTTCTCAGCTGCACGCCCAACATCCAGCTTTAACTTCTGCGTAAACGGCAGCATCTTCAACATCAATTCGCAGCAGCTTCGTGATGCAAGTGGCTTCTGTCATTACAGAGCACTTCACGAACCTTGACAGAAGGCTCCTTTGCCAGCAAAAACATCTTAGGAGAATAGCTCTGAAAAACAGTCAGGAAAGGCTGCACACACAACCATGGAAGCATTCAGGGAAAAGTTCAGTTTTGCAAGTGCAAGCTGGTCATTTAGAAAAGCACTGACGTTTTCATATGCTCTGCATTTTGGCACAGGCAGCCTGCGGCCACTCGCTGCTTCAGTGTATGGCTTCCAGGGTCCCATGTGACCAGGGCTCTTCCCAGTACGGGCACGTTTTCGATCCAACGGTGAGATACAAAAGGAAGTGGAAACACAGTGCTCCCTGTCTCCTGAATAAAATCTTCCCACCTGGTCGGTGCATCATGAAAGAGTGAGAATAAGCTGGACAAATATGTGTCAACTGACCAGCCCGTTGCATGAATTCCAGCTTTGTAGGCATTATGCGCTGTGTGAAGGCCACACGCTCCAATATCCAAACACTGAACTTGAAAGTAATTTTTCATGTGCTGCTGGAACTTGTGTAAAAGGCTCCAGTTAACACTGGGGCCATCCATGGAAAGCTGAAGAATTTTGCTCATTGGAAAGGATGCCAGCACTTCCGTCAAATTCTTCATGAGGTCGTCCACTGTGCTGTGGCCCAGGAATAGCAATGTCACATACCTTGTTGTCATCTCAGTATTGTTCCACAGTATCACATGAACATCAAGCTGTTTATTTTGCAGAGATTCGTTTAATGTTTCTTCAAGAGGACAACAAAATGATCAGATTTCTCTATCATATCCAAAACTTGAGAAGCAAAAAATGGACACAGACCATGGTTTGCGGCGTACGTGCATTTTTTATTATGTTTTTTTTTTCCAGAACAAGTGAAGCTTCTTGCGATATCGCTGTCCACAAACATCTTTCGGAACAACTCGGAAAGTGATCCGCTGGAGCTGTATCAGTAGGGAGATGATTTAGACTCTAACCAAAAGTTTTGAAGGAACCCGACGTTTCGAAACCGATTTGGTTCTTTCCTCAGGGGTGACTGCGGAGCTACGTAGCAGCGGCGTCTTCAAAGCCCTCGTGGGGTGGATAATGACCCCCCTCTCTCACTCTCGTTTTGCCGTGGAGTGCAGTCCATGTGTATACACTGGGGGAAGGGTTCCGAGAGAGCAGTTGATGCTATGCGCTGTCCCCTGTATGTGCCACAACTCGAGTAATAACCTTCTCCTCCAGTTTGGCCCGCTTTCAAGGATGGCCATTGCTTTGAAATTTAACCGGTGATCTAATGTCTCAGCATGTTCGGCGACTGCGCTGCGCTCTTTGTAGAGCTTCAGCACATCGTTGGTGTGTTGCTTCACTCGTTCCGGTAGGTTTTGCTGCTGAAAGCAACACCCCAACACGCCAACTAGAATGCACCTTGTTATTATAATAGACCACAGATTATTTGCCCTATGCAAGACGGCATTTAACCAGAAACACTAGAGACTAAAACCAACTGTACCACAAAGATCAAGGAGAGGACTTTCGATGAAGTCACCACTTCTTCAGTTTCCTTGGCATACACATAGAATTTGCACAGGGCAGCTATTCTCATACTTCCCATACAATGGACATGTCTATTTTGATGGAGCTCATTCAGTTACTCGAGAAAGTAGCAAGTTGTCATGTCATTGCGCTCTCTGATCACCTGCACCTCATGGCACACACCCAGCATTTGAAGGAAGAAAGTGAATGAAGCAGAGTCCCAGAACTCTTGAACAAACTTGAAAGTTTGTCCTAGCATATGAGTTTGTCCCAGATGCTGACGAATGGTGCAGGGAACGTGCACCTACCCTAAGAGGTGCTGCGGTAAAATGGGACGCCGAGCTAACGTGGACACAGAAATGAAATCAAGGCAAGGCCTTCAAAATTTCCGAGGCCAAGAGCATATCTCGGGAGGATGAGTTCACAGCACCAAAGCGAATTTCTTTCCTTTTATTTTTGTTGAGAGTTGTGAAAGCTCTGAGGCATTGTGATTTTGCGAAAGAAGAACCAGAAACCTGGGGTGCACAGCTCGTCGAGCTCCAGCGCAATCAGCATTAGTCCAAATGAACAGTTTGAGAGCGGCTCACTAGACCTTGGAATGACCTTTCATACTCTTTCACATGAGCAGGACAATCAGAACTCACCGCCTTCTCGGTCTTGATGCCAATAAAGCGATGGCAACCATCTTGCGTCATGCAGACGTAGCCGAACGCCCGAGCGTCGCTGGCGTCTTGAGAGATAAACGAGATACGGTGCACGGGGTGGTGGAACACCAGCTCCTGCGGAATGCACGGTATTCAAGTTATTGAGGCAAACAAGAGGTGCATACTAGCATAAGGTGATGAGTGTTATGAAAGCCTATTTGATTGTACTTATTCAATGCAGTCTGCAGACCCCTTCTTTTTAAACAACTGCTGATCAGTAATACAAGCAACAATAATTTATTCATCAACTTATTATCTTACTCTCAGGGCCCAATGGGCATTGGGAAGGGTTGAGGTGGATACTAACCTAGTTGCAACAATCGTAAGTAAAACCAAAAATATACATTCAAGCATAACACAGAAATGATAAAATATGAGTCACCTGTAACGACATTAACAAAATGGTGAAGTTTTACTAATTTCCAAAAGTGATTGGTTACAGTAGTTTTAAATGATGCTGCATTGGCTAAGGTTATCTCGAAGAGCAAGGAACCCCACTCAATAGCTTAGCGAAAATTCTGGTATCAACATCGTTGAATATGAGAAGAAAATCGAGAGAGATGCAAATAAATCAAATAATTTATGCCTTAGATTGGAGGGAAAATCAAACCCAGGCCCTCTGTACGGCAAACAGGTGTTTTACCACAGAGCTATCCCACTGTCTGAAAGTGCTTTTGAAAAAATATATACCGTATTTACTCTATTCTACCGCGCCATCGATTGTAACACGCACCTGATTTCCACGACGAAAAAAAAAAACATAAGACATCGATTGCAACGCGCACCCATTTTTCTCGCTGGCCCGCACGATCACACCACTCGAAAAAACGACTCCTTTCGGGAGCGTGTTCCACTTAAATATGAGGTACGGCGAAGCTTGTGCCCATCTGACGAGTAACAGAGCATTGCAGTCACTGTAGTTTTACCGTGGACCGATGTCAGCACGCGGACTTGCTTCCCCCCCTTCTTCTTGACAGTTGTGGTGCCAGGCATGTCGAAGTAAAGAGGCGTCTGACCGGCATTCCCGATTTGACCAAGCAGGTAGCCATTGTTGTGCCGCAAGTTTAGGACGAACCTATGAAAACTGTGAAGCTTTTCATCGAACTCCTTCGCAAAACTTTTCGCATATGCCCATTCCCCTTCGTAGGGAAAAGCCTTTCCTCTTCATAAAGTTAGTTAGCCTGCAACTGCTTGCTTTAAACTGGCTCCGCATTAGACCTTTTTCTAAGGCTAATTGCATAGCCCGCACTTGGAGCAGTTCTGTCGTCACGGGCCACTGTGCCGCTCGCTGCTCAAGCACATACTCGCCGAGCAGCTCTTTAATTTGCGGAAACCGACCTTGCTGTGGTCCACTGAAGCCTTTGCGTGAAGCTTTGCTGTCAACAATCTTCTGCTTTTGTTTCCGCCAGTCCTGCACGCACGTTTCAGGAACTTCGAACGACCGCGATGCAGCCCGATTTACGTCCGTTTCAGCACACGCGATAACTTTTCTTTTAAAAGCGGCACCGTGGTGCACTTGTCGAGTTTTTGGAGTCGGCCCTTCCATGCCGTCAATGCTAATGCACACCAAGATGACGAACTCCTCAGCACACGTACGAAGTGCCGCACATGGGAAACACATAAGCAGAAATGGCCGACGCGCCATGCCGACGCATGTAGGGGGCGGCCATTTCGGAATGTCGATGGCAATAAAATGACCGTAATCATTTTTTTTTTTTCATACTCGATTCTAATGCGCATGCGATTTATGAACTCCCTTAACCGGAAAAAAGGTGCGCGTTAGATTCGAGTAATTACGGTATATGTATACGACTGTTATGTAGTGGACGGGGTTTCATTAATACAGTACAAGTACAATTGCGTGGGAAAAGTGTAGAATCGTGCCAAGTGTCAAAACACGTGAACTGCACAAGTAATAGGTGTTTTAAAAGCCCACTAATTACAAAACAATCACGATCAGACATATTTATTCATCGTCAGCTGTAAAAAACATCAACAGAGTGAGCAGCTGCGTAGGCTTGCATGTTGCCTTACACACGTAGTGGGCCTTCCACTGATTCACAAAAGAAAGAATTATGGCGCTGTGGACACTCAACAAGTGTGGAAAATGCAACGAAACATTTGTAATCGGAGTTTTTCTGTCTGCAGCGAATATGAAGTCGTATGCTCAAATGCTGCAAACAGTGAGCGCGCGGGCGCAATGAGAGTGTTCGAGCGCAATGGTTTATTGCGCGTGCGTGCACTCCGCGCGCATGCACCATGGCTCGGCTTGGTCCACTCGCGGCCACGACAGCAGCGCCGCCTTTCATCATGCTACTCATTTTAGGTCGCAAGCAGCGCAAAATCGCGTGGGGCTAGATAATAACATACACTCCAATTTGGAGGACTGGCACACACAACAGCATCAGACTACACGACCACGTTCAGCAAAGTGATCGACTCCATGTATCGTAATCCAGCTTCTAGGCTATTCTACTAGGCTATGCAACAAGGCAGATCTTTGATAACATTAAGCATCATTAAAAATTGCAAATCCAAGTCACCACGCAAAAATAATGCATTCTCTTTTCATATCTACTGCAGTCTAATAGCATGTTCTCGCCCATTGTCAGTCCGTTCAAGTTTTTTTGGGAATCAACTACTTCATCAAGAACACTAAATTCATGTTAAGCACTCTGGTACCAGTGAATGTGGAAATAAAACAGCATATGGTCGAACCCCTTCATAAGAGACAGTGATATAAGAGACAAATGCGTATAAGAGACACCAACCTGCCAACAGTAAAATACGGGTAGATAAAAAAATGCATATGAGGTACCCAGCTTATAATAAAATTCTCCGTATGTATAATAGACAAGAATTGTTGCCCAGAGCATGCATTTTGTAAAGAGGTTTAACTGTAGTACAACTTATAAATATGTTCAAAGTGCAATATGTTGCACTTTAGTTTTCAGCGTCCAATCTGAACATCAATAATGCAGGTAATGTCTCATTATTCAGACAGTTTTACAACATTGCAATTCGCCTGACAGACAACGTGTAAAACTGATTCAAATGTTCTGCCAAAACACAGCATACAATGTGACAACTTTGACTACAGCTTTGTGACTAGTAGCTACCGACGATGTAATGCAAATAGCAATATTGAAGTTTTCATGCAATGCCAGCCCCGTTTCAAAACACGTGAACTCTACACCGACCAATCTAAAAGACTTTCGCTGTGTCCGAGGCTGAGAACTGATCAAGCTACACTAATAAGTCATAGAAGATGCATAGGCACTATTTATCATGCAACTTTCACTCTGCACGTCCGGCATTAGTAAAGTGTAAAATGGTCCCTAAAACGACTTGCTGTAAATTAGCCATGCCGTTAGTCTACCTCTACACTTAATTATTCGCATTGCACAACTACACTTAACTATTGGCAATGTTTGTGAATCAATTAGCTAACCTTAGAACACTTGCGATTATTCACATTGCATTAGGCTACACAATCTGCATCAGCAGAGCTAACCGAAAATAAACGTTATCCACTCTAAAGCAGTCCTTTTCCGCCTCAACTTCTTCACTGAACACTAAGCCTCGTGCTCAGTGATCCTCCACCAATCTACTGTTGATGATAAAGACCGACCTCCTCCACAGCTGTCTGGTTCATCCCACAAAAGCAACTTTTTTTTTCCCCCACAAACTAAGACAATCAGAATTACAGCGTGGGTGACTTTTCAAAATAAAGCAAATGCAAAGAGCAGTAGTTGAAGCTCGGTGAGGCAAGGCACTAGGGTTTGTATGGATGTGCACATTTCAAACAGCATAATGAATCATAAACTTTACTCGGAACACTTAACTTCGTAACTTAATTATCCAAAGGATTCATGCTTCCACATCAATGGGTTTATGAAACATGGTTAAAATCCTATGTGTCCCCTTTGAGCAGCTGCATAAGATTGTTCAAGCATTTTGACAAGGCTCCAACCTTATTCTCAAGGTCTGCATACAATCAGGGCAGCAAAAGAAGTGGCAGACAATTACCCTCGTGAAAACAGTATGTGACCATTCCCCCCCCCCCCCCTTTCGTAATGTCAGCATGAATGTCACTTGTGTTCTTTGAAATCAGATTACAACGCATGTTTTGGCTACTTTAGTTGTAGGAACCACTTAACAATGGTCGAAATGCAATTCAGTACTTTGTAAGGTCTTCAACTCAATTTCATGCCCCCTATTCAACGTCCACTACTGACTGATCCTCTTTGTAATGCAGCCAGAACAAAAAATGTCGAAATAAATAAGGCAAGAAAATGCGTTGCCACTAAATGTGCTCATAAACAGTTCGACAAGTGGGGCAAGTTCATGTGCAGCAAGGTATTGACAGACTAGGCCCACATTCCTGGACTACCACTTCGAAAAACACATCCACTCGTGTAACATTAAGATGTGCGTATCATCGACCACATCAACGAGCTGTTTCGCCAGTGTGATAAGGCAAGGTAGTGTGCTGGGCACAGTGCCAGGAATGCCCTGGCCGATACACAATGAACTGTCCTGCACAACTTCTATAAAATTTACGTCATCCTTCAAAGTGCAGATCTTGGGGAAAAGTACAGCCCACATATCCTTCCCGCCAACAACAATAAAGCTACTTATTTTTTAACAATCTTGGCATTCCAGACTTCCAAGTATAAAGGTTTTGCAGCAGTCCCCCTAGAGTCCGAGTTATTTGTTGGTGACAGTATGTCTCGTGTGTGCTTTTGAACGCAGTGATTAGGTACTGGATAGAGCACTACGAGACTAGAAGATGCCAGTCACGCATTGATTTGCACTGACCCCAGTCTTGTCATCGCGGATCTTGATCCCTTGAAGAGAGACGGTCAGCTGAACCCTTTGCTTGTGCTCCCCAGATGAACGCACAACCATCTGCAAAATATGTAGAGACATACCTCACATGCAAAATTCAGTCATGCAACCGGTTAAGAAGTGATTCACTGCACAAAACACAAGGTAGGTTGTATTTTTAAAAATCAGTCCCTTTTTTTTTTGCACTTCTTATATTTCGCATACTTTACTTGTTTAGTATGTACCCAAAAGTCCACCACAGAGCACAGTTGAACCCCTTCCTAATAGGCATGCACCGAGGGGAGAAATTTTGTCTTTTTTTATGAAGTGTCTTTTATAAGCAGGGTACAGCATTTGCGTCTTTTTATCAACCAATATCTCAAAGTAGGCTTACTGGTGTCTTTTAAACCGATTTTTTTTTACATCCGTCGTCTCTTAGAAGGGATTCGACTGCCATTTCAAGCACTCTATAGATAACTATACACAAGCTTGAAGCTCACTCATGCTTGGAACCAGCAAAATTCTGTCTAAGCTAAAAGTCCAGCTACTCACAAGAGCAACTAAAGCTTGCGAACACGCATCACGCCTGCTTCTGTCTAAAACAAAAACACAAAAACAACACAAATTTGCACACCCTGGACTTACAACCAAGGCAGGAGTGGCACAAAATATACACTCATAAGTAACACTTAACAGTCACACCCAGGACTAGACTTGAAAGAACAAGTCGCACCGACATTGCCAGGGAGGACGTGGCTCTTAAAAAAAACTATTTTACATTACTTCGGTGAAGTGAATGGACAATTACTAAACATATTCAGTTTCTTTTGCAGATTGCAATAAATGAATTTTTATTAATATTATTTGCTATTATGCACCCCGAAACCACGTTATGATTATGAAAGACACAGCAGTGGAGGGTTCCAGAAATTTCGACTATCTGGCATTCCTTAAAATGCACCGACATCGCACAGTACACAATCCGCTAGCATTCTGCCCCCCCTCGAAATGCAACTACCGTGGCCAGGATCAAACCTGTGACCTTCGCTAAGAGGATTTTTCGTAGCTTTATTAGAACTGAACATTTAGAATTTTTAAACATGATTTTAGTAGAGTCATGCAATTAGTAAAATTTTGGGTGCAGAGTGAGTTTGAATGTTCAAGTGTGAGTGCGAATCGAATCAAACATTTTTCAAGTGTCTCTCAAATATTTCTAAATATCTTTTTTAGAAGCGAAATAGCAGAAAAATAAGTGACAGAGAATTCCTAGGCATATGCTTGTGAGATAGCAACATGAGGCCGTATTGTATTTATGTAAATGATTTGGTGACACCAAAGTGTTGCTGACCACACTTTGCGCATGAAAGGCAACGATGCTATTTCATCAGCCTCTTCTCTTTCAATTTCTGTGGAAACCCCGTTGATGTAGCATACAAGGTCATGCTCCCTTCTAATTGGCAGTTACGAATCTGCTGCGCAGATGCCTGTGTAAGAACATCTGAAATTTTCGATGCTAAAATTTTTCAGTGTACAATTTTTCAAACTTCCTGCCCCAAGTTCAGGTCCAAAATGGCATTCACTTGAGCCCCCACTTCAGCGACATCTATCGTCTCCAAGTTGGAACTAGCGTTTTCTTCAATCAATTACATTATCGATAGGCCTGTGTGAATAGTGAATTTTACGTTCGAAGTGAATAGTACATATGACATACAAAAAAATGGCCATATTTATCATGACCTCACTAACCTGAACAATATTTTTTTACATTGAAATAAATGCCTCCATGCAAAAGCCTCCATGCAAAAGCCTTTTTTTTTCCATTCAAGAAAAGTCGAAACAACTTTGAGTAGTAGTAGGATTTGGCTTTCGGTAGGATCTAAGTCAAAGCCAGTAGAATACGTAACATTTTAAAATTTATTATACTTTGAGCATATAAGCCATCATAACAAGCTTTCAAGCTTAATAAAACGATGAATTGATTTGAGGGCGCTATGTTCATTTAAAGGGTCCCTGCCACACTTTTTCAAGTAGGAATGCATTCACTAAAGAAGCCTGCTGTCTCAGGAATTCACCACCACTAAATCTTTAGAATCCATCCAGTACAAGCAGAGTAGCAAAGATTTGTCACACACTGCAATTGCATTCTCTTCTCGTCATGACGGTAAGGTGTTGGAAGCCAAGCAAGGAGGGATGGCACGGCGAAAGAAAATACGTCACACGCACGTCGTGACCTTCAGCACCTTTTTTCTTCAAATACGCAACTTTCCAGTGTGATCGACGCACGCACACATGGACACGTCGCGGTCTCCTGAACATGACGGCCGAGCGCACCATCTTCAAATCAGCCAATGGCTGATGCAATGGCTGTGACGAGTGATTGTTGAGCTTGTGGTGTCATTTGCCGGGAGAAGAGAGCCATTGTCAGTTGGCTTTGATAATTTAATGTGAATTCTAGGCCACGTGCGGCGCTATAATATTTGGCTCGCATGTTGTCGGGAGCCTCTACAACAAATCGGCAGCGTTTTCTGACCATGCTCAAAAATTGTTGCAGGGCCCCTTTAAATTTTAAAAAGGGCTTTGCGGCAAAGCATCTTTCCCCTGGATGGGTGCTTTCTTGGCTTGCATTCCGACACTGCAGTTTTAAACTATTTTAAAACTATTTTAAACTATTTTAAAAGCCGTTACATGCAGCCTAATATACACCTATTTATTTATTGTGAATGCTTCCAAATTTTCCATAAATTCAATTTGAATCAGAGCGAATTCGAATACTCCACTATTTTCTCGAATATCCGAAGCATTCGAATATTCCCACAAGCTTAATTATTGACCATAGAACCTGAAAGGAAGCTTTACTGTAATACAAGAAATGGGGAGAAGCACTTTGAAAATCTGAAGGAGCCATTGCCAATCGGGTGCCAACTGTATTTGCCTTCTCGAAGTTTGGTTAATTCAAATAGTGCAATCCAGTGCAAACTGAATCAAATAGCAAACTCCATTAAGATATATTTGAAGTTTCGAATATTCACACCACACACCCTTACTTTTAAGCATATTTCTTATGGAGCTTTTCGGCAACTTCATTTTGTCCAACACAAGAACGAAGTATGTGGAAAGATTGCCAAAAAGTTTGTCTACCTGGTGATGATATGTATTTCCTCATAATAATGTTCACCAAATTATAATTCTTCGTAGTCATTACTAGTACAAAGCAAAACTTTTTTCCTTATGTTCACAACTGTTTATATTGCGTTGAAAGTTTCTTGAAAACAATCAAATCTGCCTCAGCAAGACCAACTACCTGGCGATATTTCCACATACTTTGTTTGTTTGTGTCGAAAGAAATGAGCTTGCCAAAAGCTCCAGAATATTCTAAATACAGATTTTAGAAATCAAATATCTCCTATTTAAACTCAAATGACATAAATTCACATTGATCCCAATGGACTACCAGTCACACAGCAACAACAAGTCGATGTGCTTGACTAGAAGCTTTCCAAAGTGTTCGTCAAGCCCTTTGAAAGTACAATGTGAGGCATGCCAGCGGAGCGACTTAAAGCTCTCAACAGTTAATAACAGTACTTGAAAACGTATATGCTCATAGGCAACTTTGTAACTGTGATATATAACTCTCACATAACTTTGTAGGAACCTTCATCCATTTAGCCCACATTTTTTTATTTACAGTGTTGATGTTGTGCAATATTGCTGCTCTGTTTGATATAATTCCTGCAACAGTGATGGTTTTCCCCGTCCTTTTTTTTTTTTTTTTTCTCCTTCGCTGTCACTGACGTATCAGTATGTCTTCAGGTTTCCCCCTCGAGACGTCACTGACGTACCTGTACGTTCTTCATAGTGGGTTCAAAAATTCGTGCAGAAGCGCAAAGCTGTCGTGATTTGGAGTTGTTAAACTGGTTGTGCCATCTGCAGAATACTCCAGGAACCACACATTTTCACCCTTTTCTGCGTCGGTACATATATTAAAGAGTAAGGGGCGACTGCACACACCCTGTGGGACATGGTCTCGTCGCGTGCGCTACTCTCTTAAGGGGGCAGACTGGTCTTAGACATTTTTTGTTTGTTTCTTCAGTGATCTTGATAAACTGCACAGGATTATGCCATTTTGCCTGCTGATTTCAAATATTTAATTAGTATTCCTGTAACTCATCTTAATGCTGAGATAACTTAAGCTCACCCCCTATTGTTTAAGGCCACCATAGATAAAAAGTGCTTTATGAAAAGTGATATTTAAGATATTCCAACATAGACTAATAACTATAGAGTGAAAGTATGCAAGAGTTTTTTTTGTTTGTTTTTAGGCTTTCTTGGTTATTTTGCAGCAAAATGAACTATCCATTTTCAAAAGCAGTTGGAATTGTATTACAACTTTGATGAGTAATTATTTAAAAGGCTTGGGCTCTATATTCTGCTCCCATACTTGCATTCTACACACATACAGGTTTCCATTGCAAAAATAATTATTGTTGTCCCTGCCCTAGCTGCAGTGATATTGAGGCCTCTAAATTGAACTGTCGTAAATTTACTTTTTTGAAAAAAATTGAAAAAACTGAAAACACACAGCTTCTTAAAAAAGCAACAATCATGGTGCGCATGTTTTGTAATCCTCATAAAGGTGCTCATGGCGCCCATAAATTTGTAGCAGAGCTTCTAACACAGGTGCCGGCCAATTATAAGGAAGCCTCGAAGTCAGTTCCCCATTTTTTTGTAGGCTCTGCATGTTAACAGCACCAAGAATCTAGACAGAATGACATGACAAAAAAATTACAGCAGAAAATAATACTCGAAAATTACCGCAGAAAATAAAAATACTCGTAGAAACCAAACACGTCGATTTTAAAAAATGAATCTTTTTTGTCACTGTTTGGTCCCAAAGACACGTCTGCCCTCTTAAGCTGAGTGATCATGTGCTGCATGTGCACTTAGATACAAGGGTTTCAAGGGTTGTTCTGCCATATCTTTTCAAGGTTGTTCCTTCATTTATTTTTTTTTTTTCAGCTCTATTGGCTTGTCTGGTACGGCACATCAAGATCATGGCCTTCGTTTCTTCTACATACCAACACCTAACTCGATCATTGCTTTCACTCAATGGCCACGGCCTCACTTGATGCTATTAGCAGTAAATGAAGTTGTCATGTCCCCTTGTTCATCCCTATCTGTCATCCTGACTTCACAATGTGTTGTTTCTTTGTACTTCAAGCTTCCCTAATATTCCTGAAACCTAATCAACATCGGGGTATGACATCACGGTCAAAAACAGCTGATAGTGAAAGGATTATTGATGTCCATTTCACGCTCATGTAACCATACCTACACCATAACAATAGCCTTCTTGGAAATCCAAATAAATAGATAAGTAAATGAATAAATAATGATTGGATGTGACCCTGATCCTATGCTTGGGTGCCCTGGTGCATCCCTATACTTGACTTTGTGTTTAGTCATGTTGCCAAAGTGCATCTCAGAGGCCATGCAGAAAGATGCATGTACTTGAGATTTGCTCAGCCAGCTGTCGTCACAATGATCCGAGCTGTTCACAAAAAAACTATCTGCTCTTTCAATGAACTTAATAAATTTTCACTTATCCTTCTCACAAAGAACTGGCCCTTTTCTCAAGTAAACGTATTTCCCGATATTGTGTGTATCCACTATAAATTTTAATTCAAACCAGAACCTTCGATTTCATAATTGTTTCATTTGTTAACGGACCTTTTCTGAATATCTGGAAAACGAGTGGCATGGGCTGCGGTAGAAGTGCTTGGAAGAGAAACAAGAGCGTCGCTCAAAGCGCAGGACAGTAATATATAAAATAAACATGTAAACGGCGTGTATGACATCACACCCATATCTTCCTAGTAATGATGCTTCTAGTAACAAACTGCTGTTTTCTGTGCTTCTCCCATTGATATAACATTCACGCGTGAGCAGAACAAGCAAGAGGCACTCATTCCAACCCTTACGTCACTTAGCAATGATTGGAAGAGATGAGGACGAGCACGAGATGCCCACCTTGAGTCGTGTCATGGCATCTTGGCACATGCGGTCGCCCCGTGCCTCTGGCACCGGCTGGCTCCCGATGAGCTTGGCTCGAAACAGGAGCCCCTCCCCTTCGAACCGAAAGGGGTCGCCACCTTTGCCAGAGCTGCTGCTGCTACCTGCAACACAATACATTGCCAGAATCATATACTGTATGGCCAACTGGATAGGTGGGCAATTAAAACTGGTGATGGAACTAGCACAGTGTGAGCGATCAATAGTGCAATTAAGGTGCACTTATCCAACCAGCAGCCACAAGTGTCGTGCGGCTTGTCCCATTCATACAATCATTCCTCGTGCGTCAGCACCAGAGATGAAAACAAACACAAAAATTTTTGCAACACAGCATCCTCATTTGGAGACGCAACTTAATTTTGTCAAAGGTGAACATTTGGCAGACGTCTGCCTGGTTGGGATAGGAATCAGGCAATCAGAAAACTTCCACTGAAAACTCGAGGTTTCGAGGCCAGACAAGCTTTTTCCTCAGGGATGAGAAAGCCAAAGGTGTACGATGCCAAGTAAATTTACTTAATTGCTATTTCTTAATTTTGCTGTTTCTTTGCACTAATGACAAAGAAGAGACCACACACACTGAGCTAATGGTAAATTGTTGTTGCCTGAACTTCCTTTATACCATTTCTAGTTGAAATATTTTGCTGCAGAAGGTAATTTTGGTGAAGTATACCATGTTTTTGAGATGCTGAAATTATGGCATTCAACACGAGCCTTGATATATTCTTAAAAATCTTTTCCAGCAGATAACTGATCCATATAAATTGAAAATTGACTGGCAGGTATAACTCAGTTTATGAAATTTAGCATGACTGTATAGCACTTTGATAGTTACTTTGTGATTACAAACAGTTGCTGTAAAATATACCATATTTCCACTCATTTTAAATGTGGTCTCGCGATCCTGAAATTATATAAATTTCATTCATTTATAAACAGTAAATCATAATGCATGTTGCAAAGATTCAAATTAACCTGACCTTTCGACATGTCAAGACAGCTGTCATCTCTTCATACAATGAGCAGCACATGTGAAACAGGAACTATAATGAGGCGTTTTAGAGTTGCACTCTTTTATAAAACAGGAGAAAGGTCACGACACGTTAAGTGGTAATGGCGGGACCAGCCTGAGTCGCCAGCCAACCAAACGTCGTCTTCTTCACCGACTGAGTCATACCCCCTGCCCTTCTGAGTAGCATTCATCTTCTTCACTACATTTTCCTCCCCTCCGGAAAAGAGCCATCCTGGCGACTCATGGGCAGGAGACAATAGAGGGATCGTAATATGGTTTTAGGCGGTCTATGTGGACGGTCTCACGTCCACGGCGTCGTTGATCATGGGGCTGTTCAAGCGGCTCCACGATGTAATTGACGGGTGAAGTTTGTTTAACCACACGGTAAGGTCCGTCATACTTGTACATCAGTTTCGTTGAGAGACCAGGGCTGGTTGAAGGGATGCGAAGCCAGACAAGGTCATCCGATGCATAAGAAGCCGGAGGCGTCGGGCTATCGCGGTGGTGTTTCTGGCGTTGCTGTTCAGCACTTGTGAAGGAGCGGGCAAGCTGACGACACTCTTCCGCGTATTTAGCAGCTTGTGACATCGTCGTCGACTCAGCAACATCCGGGTGGTAAGGAAGGATGGTGTCTAGCGTGCAAGAGGGCTCGCGACCATAAAGGAGGAAATATGGCGAGAAACCAGTGATTGTCTGGACAGCAGTATTATGCGCGTAGGTTACAAAAGGGAGAATACTGTCCCAATTGGTGTGATCGGTTGCGACGTACATCGACAGCATATCTCCTAATGTACGGTTGAATCTTTCTGTAATGCCATTTGTTTGAGGATGATACGCGGTGGTGGTGCGATGAATGACTTGGCATTCCTTGAGAAGCGATTCGACAGCGTCCGACAAAAACACACGCTCTCGGTCACTCAGGAGTTCACGTGGTGCACCATGATGTAAAATGATCTGATGCAGTATGAAACGACCGACGTCGCTGGCTGACGCAGAAGAAAGTGGTGAAGTTTCTGCGTAGCGCGTAAGGTGATCGATAGCGACGATTACCCAGCGATTTCCAGCCAGTGTAATCGGAAGAGGTCCATACAGATCAATACCAACACGGTCAAACGGTCGGGCAGGACAAGGTAAGGGTTGTAGTGGAGCTGGAGAAGTTGGAGTGGGATTCTTCCGGCGTTGACAAGCGAGACAGGAACGTACGTAGCGACGGACGAAGCGATACATTCCACGCCAGTAGTAGCGGTGGGACAGGCGGGTGTAGGTTTTTAACACTACAGCATGGGCGCATTGTGGGTCGGCGTGAAAGGAGGCGCATATGTCTGAGCGGAGACTTCTGGGAATGACTAGAAGCCATTGGCGTCCTTCGGAGAGATAATTACGTCTGTATAGCAAACCATCTCTGATAACGAAGTGCTGTATTTGACGGCGCATACCTCTAGGGATATTTTGCGAGGGAGTTCGATTCAACAAGTTGATAAGTGAAGCGATCCATGGATCTTTTCGTTGCTCCTGTCGCATGTCACTGACACTAAGTGCAGATACGTCGGGGGCAGGCGAAGACGGCGGCTTGTCACTACATCGTAGAGGTGATCGGGACAACGCGTCTGCGTCGGAATGTTTTCGGCCAGATCGGTAAACGACGTGGATGTCGTACTCTTGTAGCCGAAGCGCCCAACGGGCAAGCCGGCTGGTGGGATCTTTTAACGAGGAGAGCCAACATAATGTATGATGATCTGTAACCACGCTGAATGGGCGCCCGTAAAGATATGGTCGAAACTTGCCTATGGCCCATATGATGGCTAGACACTCTTTTTCGGTGACTGAATAGTTGGCTTCTGCTTTTGTGAGTGCACAGCTGGCGTAAGAGACGACGTACTCATCAAATCCAGGTTTACGCTGGGCGAGCACAGCACCGAGGCCAACTCCGCTAGCATCCGTGTGTATTTCCGTCGGGGCAAGAGGATCAAAATGTCGCAGTATAGGAGGTGACGTAAGAAGGTGGCGGAGTGTGGCAAATGCATCATCACAAGCTGACGACCAACTAGAAAGGTCTTTGTTGCCGGCAAGAAGGTCAGTCAAGGGCGATATGATGGAGGCGAAGTTGCGAATAAAACGACGAAAATATGAACATAAACCGAGGAAGCTGCGAAGTTCTTTTAAGGTCTTCGGCTTGGGAAATTCGGCAACGGCACGGAGTTTCGTCGGATCCGAAAGAATGCCATCTCTAGATACAACATGGCCCAAAATTAGGAGTTGTCGAGCGCCGAAGCAGCACTTCTTCAAGTTGAGCTGTAGACCGGCGGCGGTGAGGCAAGTAAGCACTGTCTCGAGCCGCTGAAGATGCGTTGAAAAGTCGCTTGAAAATATTACAACATCGTCTAAATAGCACAGACATGTCTGCCATTTCAGGCCACGGAGGATGTTGTCAATCATGCGCTCGAAAGTGGCAGGCGCATTGCAGAGCCCAAATGGCATGACGTTAAATTCATATAAGCCATCAGGGGTAACAAAAGCCGTCTTGGGGCGATCAGCCTCAGCCATGGGAACCTGCCAATAACCTGAACGCAGATCGAGTGACGAGAAGAACTCCGCGCCTTGTAAGCAGTCAAGGGCATCGTCTATGCGAGGTAGCGGGTAAACATCTTTGCGCGTGATCTTATTCAACCGGCGGTAGTCGACGCAGAATCTTATTGAGCCATCCTTTTTCTTGACTAGAACAACTGGGGAGGCCCACGGGCTATTAGAGGGCTCAATAACACCTCGCTTCAACATGTCGTCAACTTGTTCCGCGATTATGCGACGCTCAGATGCCGATACCCGATACGGACGCTGACGTAAAGGAGCGTGAAGGCCAGTGTCGATTTCGTGAGATACAGTGGAAGCACGGCCCAAAGTCAGTTGCTGGTGGTCGAAGCTGGCACGGAAGCGCTCGAGGAGGGCGATGATGTCGGTGCGCTGCTGGGCCGTAAGGTTGGGGTCGACGCAGCGCGAAATTGCGTCGGTGAATGATGGGGAAGAGGATGACGCGCAGCAATCAACAGCATCAATAGGTAGCGTAGTCGAGTGGTCAGGAACTACACGTGCACTCGAGGGATCAATGTCATCGGCAAAGCCCAGGCACTCTCCGCACAGTAACTTGGAAGGCGAGGGAAACGGATTTGATACATAAATTGCACTTGATGCTTCGTGAATATTCAGAACGGCGAAAGGAATCAGGAAGCACTTGCGGCGAACAGCGGTTTCAGAAGGCGTAAAAAGAACAGTTGAGCCACTATAGACGTCACAGGAAAGCGGAACTAGGGCGGACGAGAACGGGGGTATCGAAGTGTCGGCGGCAACGAAAACTTTTGCAGGTGAAAGGGACGAGTCGAGTGAAGCAGCGTCGCATAACGGCGCGAACTCCACTTCCGCGCGAGCACAGTCGATGACGGCATGATGAGTGCAGAGAAAGTCCCAGCCTAATATAATGTCATGGGAACACTGCGGGAGCACTACGAACTCGACGACATATATATTGTCAGCAATAACGACACGTGCTGTGCATGCAGCAAAAGGGTGAATTCGTTGCTCGCTCGCAGTGCTTAAAACGAAGTCGTGTAGAGGCATTGTGACTTTTTTTAGTCGACGGCAAAGTTTTTCAGTCATTACAGACACTGCGGCGCCAGTATCGACCAATGCAAAAACAGGTATACCTTCAACGGAGACAGCAACGACGTTGGACGGCGAAAAACAAGGTCTTGTGGAGTTCGAAAGATCCGCAGTTCTTGCCCCCGGAACCGCGGCTCCTAGTTTTCCTCAGGGACAGGGCGAGGTCGACGGAGCATAGGGGAAAGGGAACGGCGTTGAGGTGAAGGCGACCGGTGTCTGTTGAAGTTTCGGCGAGGTGAAAATGTGTCCATGGTGGTAGTCTCGCCATATACAGCCGGCTCCGGTCGTGGGGGTAAATCATAATTGTTGGGCCTGACGTCGTCACGCAGAAAAAACTCACGCCGTCGACAAAATCGTGCCACGTGACCCGCAATTCCACAGGCGAAGCATATGGGGCGGTTGTCTTGAGTGCGCCAAGGGTTCTGAAAGCGTCGAGGTGGTGGT